GAGCTGTGAGCAATCAATATGACTGTCAGGAGGGGGGCATGAAGGTTATACAGGCGTACCTCAGTTTACAAAATTAATGCGTCCTCCAGGACGTTACATAATGTGGAAATTTCTTAAACCAAAATGCAGATTGCGCTAGGAATGGGGACGGTACTAGAAACCTCCAGGTGCAGTGAGTCCTGGGGCAACCCTTTCATACAGTGGAAAAATAGAGAGAGAGAGAAACGTAAACCGGGGCATTATTTTCTGTGGATTTTGGTTTGTAAACCGAAAATTATGTAAACCAAGGCTTTCATAAATCGAGGTACCACTGTATTGCACATGCATGTCTATGCACCCCCTTCACATGTTCTATGTATAAAGAAAACTCCCAATATAAAACAGGTTATTAACAGGGTGCAACCTGGCATGGCCTCCAATGTTACAGCTGTTCTTGACCCATCACATCCTAACACATTTGTGCACTTAATATGGACATCTGAGAACAGAGAATATGACAATATACCTGAACATGATGATCAAACAAATAGTGTAAGAATGGACTGGTGTGAACTCGGAAATGATTTAACACTAGTAAAGATACACGTTATCCAGAGGCTTCTTAGAGCCCAAAACATCTGCAATATTTGACAATCATCTTCCTGGAAGTCAATGCCAAATTCATGTGTCTACACCACTCTTTGTCATTAACACCCAGAACCAACTAGGTATAATAAGTAAACTACCATTTAGAGCCATGCCATAAGCATTCTGGGAAATTAAAAGCTTCCCATCCTGCCCCTGCCAAGCTCTGGGAATCCTAAGGATCTCCCTCATCCTCAGACAGCTTTCAGAAGCTGAAGAAAGGGAGAGGGAATGATTTAAAGCAGGAAAACTGCAGCCGCAAGTCCTGGTCCTCCTACCTGGTCTGGCAACAGTGATTTTCAAGCTTTGAATAATTTCTTCTCCCCTTTGTGTCTCCCAAAGGGTGACCGAAGACATACCCTTGCAGTGGGGATCAACAGAGATCTATGGTGTGACTTATGCCAAGAGGATTCTGGCCACAAGCACAATTCCCATTTCATTCAGTTGATATGCATTCTTTGTCTGGTTTAACACCATCATCATGTAGACATGATCCAGCAAATATTACTACTTGGAAATCTTCCTGATTATTCATTTACCTATCTACCTACCTATCTACCTAGTTAGCTAATTAGCTAGCTAGCTAGCTAGCTAGTTATCATATCTCTCTACTATCCAACTGGCAATGATATGGTAGTGATTTACAAATACAAAGCAAGGATAATTAATGAAACATTATAATGAAACAATTAAAACAGCCCAAAAAGAATTAAGATGTTAAAACATTCAAAGATATTACAATTATGTTAAGAGCTAGCTGTAAAGTCTGAAATGTAATACCAAAGATAAAAATAACTTATTTATTTAAAATATTTTTATGCGCATATGCTTAATTCGCCAGCTGAAACTGGAACTTCCAAGTGCTTAACTTCAGCTGGATTGGCACCATCACATTCTTATTTTTATCAAACGTATACCAATATAAAACTGTCCAAATTATTTTCTTTGCAATCAAATACCAATAACAAGCACAGTGCCATCACCTCTTCATTATGCTGTATTATTTAAAGTGTAGATTTATTTGCTGTTTGTGAAGGTTATATTGCACATAAGTACATGACAGATTGCAAGTTTGCTAACTTCAAATCAGTGTTTAAGCTTCCAGTACCTTCCCTTAAAATGTAGGTTATTTGACAAATTGGAATTAAGTTATCTTAGGTCAATGTAACTGTACGTTAAACTAATGAGGTGTATGCCTATGAGTTATGTCTGATTAGCTTAATACAGAAAGTGCTGGACAGCTTGGGCTGCTGACCTTGAAGAAGCCAAGATAACACTGAAATGCGTTGGAGGATGTGGTTGTGATGTAGAGGAAAAAATTTACATAATAGTTTGTCATATATACTTCTACAAAATGGGATTGTTTCAAAATCCAGTAATGCAAAGCTCACATTCAATCAGCCTCAGGCAAAAATAAAGAAACATGTTTAAGCTGGTCCAAACTGGGCACTGAGATTAAGTTAAAAGCAAGTTTAATCAGGAATGGGAACATAGGACAAGCTATTTTAAATGCTTTGTATTTTAAATGCCAGATTAGTCATCTTGCACATTAAATTCAAATCATGACAAACTATGCAATGAGGCATATTAACCAGTGTGGATTCAAACAACACTACTCTTTCATATTACGGAACATCATCAACAACTGCAAATCATGAACTGCATATAATCCATTGAACCTATCTCATATTTTGGTTGTGGGGGATCATTTGAAGGAGAAACCAGTAAGAGCATAAGGCACATTTTTTGGCTTACTCAACAACTATGTCCTGAGAAGTAATTGTTTAGTATGCTAACTTCATTTACCACACCCCCAGAATGGCAATGCCCAGTGTTGTATTGAGGAATGAATGCTAGATATGAATTTAAAACAGTTTGCATGCAAGGCTACAGCCTTATTTGGGTGTCCAAATAATTAAAAAAGTTGATTTGCATGTGAAAATAAGAAGGGAGTTCAAGCCCCACTCCCTGACCTTTGCTGTTTCTACATGAGGAAGGATGATTTGAAGAGGAAATAATATCTGATACACATGGAGCCTCTCCACACAATCAAGAGTTCTGATTTCCAAGACCAGATTCCTGTTTACTTGACAGTGAGTGACTCATACGCCTTCTCTTGGGTGGGTGGGTGAAACTGTGGCTCAATATATTTAATTGTGTGGTCTTAGTTTAGTACACCTACGGAGGTAGCACAGCATGCATGCCAAATCCACAATAAAGCAAAGGATTTTCAATATTAACAGGCAGGGTTTTCTAGTTCTGTCCGTCCAATAGGTCTTCTTCTCCTATAGCATTAACATAAAATTTCTTATTTGGTAATGAAAGTGATCCATATTTAAATAAATGACAGTCCCTAAGTACAGGAGAGCCTTTTTCTTTGGAAGGGTTAATGCTATGTCCTCAATGTTGATGGAAGGGCACTTCCAAGGTATATTGTACCTCTCGATCAAAGATTCTATGTAGTCCTGGAGTTATAGGGTCCATAGTACATATATTCCTCTATTGTAATGTTTACAAAGATACAAAGGGAGACAATATTGCACCAAAGTCTGGTAAAGCTTCCTAGCAGATCTGACATGCACCTTCCGGACATATGCCCAAATGGGGAACAAGCCTTTTGCTGTGAATGTTGCAAAATTATTAAGAATCGTACTTTATATTAGACCAAAGATGTTCTAAGATCCATAGTCTATGTATTCAATTATGCAATGACTGTTTTGGGTTTTGTTCTCTCTCCTCCTCCTCCTCTTCCTCTCTCTCTCTCTCTCTCTCCCTCTGTGTCTTTGTCTGTGTCTGTGTTCTTTACAACTGCTAGATCAATAACTATCCAAAGTGGATTGATTTTCAGGGCCTCCAATCATGGTGAATGGTTCCATGTGTAGCAGGAACGTTCCTCTTCAGACCATATCTCTTTCCAGAGACATAGCAACAACTTTCTTTCTTTTCACACATTCAGGCTAACTCATTCTGGATACCTGAATATGGCCACCTTCTCTTTCAGCCCAAGCTTAAGAGGGTTAAGGGAAAATACAATGTAATGGCACCATGATTTGTCCAGGCATCTCTGAAGAAAAGCAAGAAAATTCAAATGATAAATTATAACACTAAAAATGGTCCCTGAGTATTCTTATTTCTCTCCACTTCTGCCTTTTCCTTTTATTTATTTTTTATTTATTTATTTATTGCTGCCTTTTCCCTTTGTGTCATGTCTTTTTTAGATAGTAACTGAAAAGATAGGGGACATTTTGCTTTGTTTTATTGTGTCATGTCCTTTTTAGATAGTAACTCAAAAGATAGGGGACATTTTGCTTTGTTTTATTTTAAAAGATTACCATACTGCCTGTCACATATAACACATACAGTGGTGCCTCGCTTAACGATTACCTCGTTAAACGACAAATCCACTTGACGGTGAGGTTTTTGCGATCGCAAAACAATGTTTCTATGGCCAAAAATCGCTTTATGGAGATCAGTTCCCTGCTTCGGGACCCAATTCTTTGCATTACAACGATCTGAAAACAGCTGATCATTGGGTTTCAAAATGGCCACCCGCTGTGCAAAATGGCTCCCATTTATAGAAGGCATTTTTCGCTTTACAGGCACTGGAAAATGGCCACCCTATGGAGGATCTTCGCTGGACGATTAGGTATTTAGCCCATTGGAATGCATTGAACTGGTTTTCAATGCATTTCAATTTTGTTTTTTTTTTTGTTTTTTGGCTTGACTAGGATTTCGTTCTACAGCGATATTTATGGAACGGATTATCCTCGTCAAGTGAGGCACCACTGTATAGACAAGTCAAATACAACAATGATCCCCAAACTTTTTGTCACCATGGGCCAGTTGGAGGAGGACGGGGTCCATGCGCGGGGAAGGCAGGGCACCCCCACGCCCATTCATGAAGGAGCGGGTGCACTCGCCCATGCACTTGTGCGCATGGGCAAATGCGTGGTGGTGCTTGGGGGGTGCATGAGGTGGCAATGATGATGATCACAGCACTGAGAGAATCTATATGAGGAAAGGCCTTTTCAGGTATCCTGGTTCCAACTTGTTTAAAGCCTTATAAGTTCATGTGGAAACTTTAACAGGAAACCTGATGGCTCCCTGAGAGGGGTCAGTTTACAGGGCTATTTTTTTCACCAGGCCTACTAACCACTGTCTGTAAAACAGAACGGTTTCCAATGACACAATCTGACATACCTCTTCCAACACTTCTCCTACCTATCCTCGCCACAAGGTATAAAAACACCTGAGACCAAAACACCCTCACTGATACCAAGCATGTGCTCTGTGTTGACTTTGCCCCTAGCAGACTTCAAGTCTGTGTACAAGCTGATATGTCGCTTCCAATGTTGTGCATACAAAGTTCTCCCTACCTGTAATCAGGACTGGCGGGCACATTTTGCATAAAGTAAAGCGCTGCAGTCCTTGCTCTCCAATGCCATTTCTTGGCAGGGAGAGTAAAGAGGACACAGTCTTCAATTTCTTCTTGCAGAAGATCCACAAGCTGCTTGTGTGAACCTCCATAGAAAGCCTCAATTAGCAGAATGCTCATTGTCCTGTACAATATCCAAGTCATCCAAGATCCTGTTAAAAAAAATTAAAACTCATATTATTATTAAAGCCTACTTTATAATTATTTCATTCTAAAATGTGTCATATAGGATCATGATAAAAGCGGAACCACATTACAAGAGCTCAGTCAGTAAGTTCAATTTTAAAGGGATTCAATCTTTTTGTTTCATTAATAAGTTTAACTTAAAAAAGACTAATTAAAATTGCAGGCATGGAAAAAGGAGAGTATCTATTAATCAAAGTCATATTCCATTAAAATTTAGGTTACAATTAACAATGCAGTCGTACATGCACGTGCATGAAAACGCTTAGGCTCCAGCTGGACTCAGTGTCTCCCAACAACATATTCTGGAGTTTAAAATATATTTATTTATAAATTTGGACCGTGCCTACACAATATAGCTAATTCATTTTCAAACAGATTTTGCCCTTTGTCTGACATTACATGGAACTAGAAGACATTTCAAGCACAGGTCAGCCACAATGATGTTTCATACTAACGGCAATACAGGAAGCTGACTTAAAAGAAACATGACTGGGGCAGCCTAAGGAAACCTACTTTGGAGTCATCCACCTAAGGATTTGTACATTTAAAGTTACAGAAGGCTGGGAGCATCACTAAGTGACATTGTCAGCCCCTAGAGCAGATGCAAAATACATTATTAAACCAAACTGGCTGGAAAAGAACAATATTGTACACTTTAAGCAGGCTACTCACACTCTGAGCCACAGGGCAGCTGACATATAGAACAGAGGCAGAAACAAAACAAATAGACAAATAAAAATCTCCTAAAATAGATAGATAGACAGACAGACAGACAGACAGACAGACAGACAGACAGACAGACAGACAGACAGGAAGGAAGGAAGGAAGGAAGGAAGGAAGGAAGGAAGGAAGGAAGGAAGGAAGGAAGGTAGGTAGGTAGGTAGGTAGGTAGGTAGGTAGGTAGGTAGGTAGGTAGGTAGGTAGGTAGGTAGGTAGGTAGGCAGGCTGTATAGTCTTTGACAAAAGCCTAAAATGAGCCAATGTTTTGAGACAATAAATAGGTTTAACCATACTTAAGATACATTTTGACACAGAAAATATTTGTTGGTCTCTTCAAAGAAAATGGCTCACATATTCCTTAAGGTTACAGTGCCAGTTTTAAGAATTCATACCACTGGTGTAGTGCTACATTTATAAGTCCAGGTGCTTTTCATGACAGCCCCCATAGACAACTGCACCCCAATATGGAGAGTCCAAAAATTCTGGCTGCCGAATCAGTCCATATCAATAAAACACAAGCAAGTTTCTTAATTGTTCAGGCAAGACCACACCATACTCAAATATCTGTACTACAGTCAGAACAGTTAAATCCAGAAGGAACAGGGAAGACTCAGAGAGGTGACAGATGACTTCATAGTCCTTGCTTGGAGACAGTACAAGGGCTTCAACCCTGCAATTGATGGCTCCACTACAGTGCTATAGATTATAGAAAAGAAGAAAGCAGTAACATATGCATATGCTTCATATGGAGAAATCCATTAATCAAAATTGCTAGGCATAGAGGTTGACGGGGTTCCAAAATGACAGAGGGTTTGTGAGTTGGAATGAAAAAAAAAACCCCTACTTCAAGCAGCTAGGCCATACCCATGGGGATTTCCTTCCTTTTTTTGATTTTGAAAAGCAGCAAATAACCCCTACCCAACCTTATGTCATATCACAAACCACTTTGTAACGTCTCTCAGTTCTGCACAAGCCGTTTGCCACATGCTGCACAGAGTGATGATTCTCAAAACAGAAGTCTGAGATCCTTTTGATCCACCAGGACTAGATGGCTCTTGGCACCACAGACACAGCAAAAGGCAGAATCAGATAGGCATCCATTTATTTTCCCACTACAGTTCCAACCCATTCTAATTCTCAGGGGTAATATAAGTCTTCATGAATTAGCCCTGTATTTTTCCAAGTTGATTTTTTTTTCATAAAAAAAACCCTACACATCACAGCTCATTATGTTATATATATTTTATGAGCCACAAAGGTAGTGGGATAAATAATATGTAAATCATGTCACAAATGTGGTTTCTGCTTCTGCTACAATCTCACAGTATCATGCATTATTCTTGCTTTTTTTATTTTATTTCCCTTGACCTAGCCAAGTTAAGGTAAATATACACCATGTACTCCTAGGAGGTCTAGAAAAGCCACCAATGATAAATGGCTTGAGGAACATTTACCCTATCAAATGGAATGCAAAGCTCAATTAGATATAAATCATTTCAGGTATTTTAGCCATTTCAAAGGGAACAACAAATATTAGAACAACATTGCCACTTTCTCATTACACTACTTCCTCTCTCAAGGGTGTCTCTTTGGAACAAGTTATTCTCCAAGATGTACTAATGGCTCGATTCCATTCTCAGGAGTGCATCAACGTACTGCCTGAAAAATTCACTGTTCTACATTACATTGTAGTTATTCCCTTCTCCCTCATGAATGTTGCCAAGAACCTTGATACTCAAAATATAAGCCAACTCCTCAGTGAACATCAGGCAAGCAGCAGCATTTTCTTCTGTGAAAACATTTCTCCTTTTAGTTCCAGCACCTAAAAAGTAATACCCACATCTAACAAAGAACTCTTCATTCAACCTCAAACCATACCATCCTCCCAATTATTCAGAAGAGAAGTGTTGGCAAGGATTGATCGCAGACCAGTATTTTAGTCAAAGAGGGAATAAATCAATAATCTTAAACCAAAAGAACCACAACACACATACACACAAAACTAAAAGTAAATACCATATCAGAAGCATTATACATCCTGTATGCCTCTGGGCACATCTTTACGCAGAACATACATAAAAATAAATTATAATGTTACGTAGGGAATTGTGTCAATCAAACCAATGTACTTTTTGTGTTAATGCAGATTTTCAGAAAACTTGGAAATATTTTTTACAAGCACTAAGATGGGGAGGGACAGGAAATAGATTAGTGAATACATGCATGTTGGTTGTGTGAACAGAGAGAGACTAGGGGAGAATAAGAACAACGCACCACCAGTCACTGATATCTCATTTTTTAATCACTAGACATCTTTGATTAGTTTCATTCCATAAAACTATAAGGGCCAAAACATGTTCTATCGTACCATCTTTTAAAATATGCCAAATATTTGATGCCAAGTATGCCTGTCAGTCCCATAGACACACAGTGTAAGTGTGTAAACATTCTTTAAATAAGCTGTTATGTTGCTGCTGTGTACATCAAGCCACTTCTGACTTTTGGAGATCCAATGGAATAATGGCCTCTAAAAGGTCCTATCATTAACAACCCTTCTCAAGTCTTACATGCTAAAGGCCATGGCTTCTTTTTTAAAAGTCAATCCATCCCAGATATTTATTGCCTTCCACTTTTCCTAGCATTACAGACGTCTCCGTTAAGTCTTGATTTCTCATGGAATGTCTATAGAACCACACCCTCAATTTAGTAATTTTAGCTTCCAATAAGATAGTCAGAATTTATTCAATGTAGAATGTGTTTATTTGTCATTCTGGCCTTCAATGGTTACTTGTAAAACTCACCTCCAAAATTACATTTCAACTTTCCTCACTGTCCAACTTCCATATCTGTACATAGTAATTGGGGACAGCATTATATGGCTGACTTTGGTCTCCAGTGACTCATCCTTACACTTCAGGGTCTTTTCTAATTCCTTCATAGATGTCTTTCAGGATCTTCTTTTTGAAGGCAGGGGAATGACAAAGTTACGGTAAATACTAATTTACAAAGCACAGAAAACCAGATTTCAAAAAAAAGGTTTTTGCTGCCTAAAAACTGTCAGTGACAGGGCTAACTGGATTTCTATCAAAACGGAATTTCACAACCAAGGGGCTATCACAGGAAAGGCTCGGTTTCATGTTCCCAACCATCGTGTTCCTTTTTGTGGCAAGACAGAAAGCAGGGCCTCACACAGTTTACTAGCAGGTTCATAGGGGAGGAGGCATTCTTTCAGGTATCTTGGCTAAAATACTCCTTGAATGGTATACAGTACCTTCAACATGTTCTCCCAGCAATATAAACAATAGTATTATAGACAAAACCCTCAGAGATTAAACTGATACCCTGGCATGCCAATTGCCCTCACTGAATTCTTTGTTCATCCAGAAGAACATGGTTACAACTCCTTTTCAGACTTTCCATGGGGGTAGAAAGTGTGTGTGCTCCCTCATCCCTCTACTCATGTAGGAAAAAGGATGCCAGAATAGGACTTTACTGTATTGCTTTCACCAATCGGGTGACAGTAAACAAACATAACTGAGAAGAAGCTTACACCACATTCAGTGAATGTTAGACATGACATCTAAACAAATAATTTCAACAATTTTCCACTGACAGCTGTGCAAGATCCTCCTTTAGAGAGTGATCTGTAATGGTTATGCCAGAAGTCTTTACTGATTTCTCAAATTCCTGTCATACGTTTCTAAAATATAAACAAGGCAGCAAGGAAAAGTATACCAAATATTGTCACAATAACAGGGATAGATCGACAACTCCTACTATTAAGGGTGACAGGCCTATAATTTTCAAACTGGAAAAGCTGGGGTTTGTGGGACATTTTTTGTCTGCACTCAAAGCAAAATGTAATCCATAAACACAAACATGTCCATGGCTTTGTTAAATGTGTTGCCTCAGTAACACAATCATCAAGATATCTCACAGTCCTATTTATCACAACAGGTTGGTTCAAAAGTAAAACTGAACAATGCATGATTTTAACATTATATGCACCAGGCTCCATGAACTTCAAACTCACAAACTCTTGCCAGTCTTTCATGTGCCCAAGAGCCCTGTTCTTGTTCAGGGTAACCAGAATACCCTGTTGTGTATGAACTTTGGAAATTCTGGTTAACAACATCCTAGGGCATGCAATTTTGGTAGGCCTGGAGGTCAGATCTGTGTCCACAGCACCTGCTCCAGGCGGCACCAAAACTGGAAATGTCCAGGGATAGCGTGCCCCCCCTCCTGA